AATCTAACACAGTTCTCCCAGGCGCAGACCTTACACTTAGACCAATCTCAGCAATTGGAAATCAAATCTAAACCCGTAACAAAACAGAAGTTCTGTACACACAGACCTCTCTAAAAGTGGCAGAACCCAGACTAAGATAGATCTGGATGAATGTACACTCAAATTTAATCAATCTAGGTACGACTGGTGAATGGAACTTCTGTACAGTTACCTGCACGGCCCCTGGGTGGGAAAGCCCAGCTGCTGGCCCATCCCGGGGCTGTGCTTTTCCTACCCGTCCCCTGGCACAAAGCTATTTTTAGCACCCCACCCACCATGCCACTTGCAGCCACACCTGTGGACCAGCCAGCACCCCCCTCCCCTCACCCCTCCATCTCAAGCCACTTCAGGTGCCAGTTTTATTAGCACTCACCAGTGCTGGGAACTGCGGAAGTAAGCATCCGTGTGGGGAAGAGGCAGGAGAGATGTAGGGGTAGGTTTAAAGGGGAGTCTCAGGGGGCTAAAAATAGCCCCTGGTTCTCCTAAGCTTCCCCTGAAGACCTTGCAAGCCCACCTGATCCCACCATCCCTCCCAGACCCCGGTAACTCCTTGCAGTTGCTGCCTAACCCCAATCCCGTCTGCAAACACCACATGCCTCCCCTGCACCCCCAGGCCTTCCTGCAGATGTCACCTGCCCTCCTGATCCCTCCCATGGATCCCGCCTGCCCCTCCATCCGCCCCACAGATGCCACCTACACACCCAAACACTCCTGTGGATCCCACCTGCCTCCCAGTCCCCCTGCAGATCCCACTCCCCCCATCTCCCTGTAGACTCCTGACCCCCCACAAGCCTACTCCCCCCCATCCACCCAGCACCCCCAACGCAAACTTACCTTACATTGGGTGGCCATTTTTAACATGACTGAACTTGCTGCTAACCTCCCCAATGTCAGCACTTAGCTGTACTGTCTTTCCTATTCGAACTTCTCCCCAGTTCCTTTTTTTCCATCCAACAAATCTTTACTTTCCTCTCTCTCTCTCCCAGGACTTAATTACCTATTCACACTCCCAAGTCATGCACATTCATTTCTATCAACCATATCCACAGTACCCTCACGTCACATGTCAAGTCAAGAACCCTTTTTACCTGTTACTGGACTTCAGGAAGTAGAAACAGAAGCAACAAGGAGGGTTGGTGGTTGCTTAGACAGACTGTGGGTTAACCTGAATTAACCTTGCAGGGGTCTAAAATCACCAGTCATTTATTTAGGTTTCTTTTTTCTTCTACCCATAGACAGCAAGATAGCTTACTGTAGTATTTTGAAAACCTCACAGGCATCAGGTGGTACTGGACAGTTCAGCACAGCAACTGTACTAAAGGCCCATATAGATGGCTTAGTAGTTCCCTGTCCAAATAATACATGTTTGCAGTGCAGCATCTATATCATTAAAGATATTTACACCATGCACTTCAGAATCCAATCTAAGTTATGCAACAGTAGTGTACAGTACCTTGATCGGCCACATCTTCAATATCTACTTTAAGTTCATTTGCCATGAAGCCAATAACTGAAAAGATGACAAAGCCAGCAAATATACTTGTGGCACTGTTGGTACATGTTACTATCAGCGTGTCCCTGAGGAGAAAAAGCATATGCCAGCTTGATATAATAGGTAAGAGAGAGATCCAAATGCAGTACATTCTCATACACAAGCTATAAGAATAAGGATTATTTTCTATGCAAACACTTGCATATCCCTTCTCCGGTGAATTTAGTGCGATTAAAATGTGAGAAAGACTCAGAGATGGAAGTCTTCAGATAAGAAACAAGAGGCAGGCATGAGTACAAGTTTCCTTTCATTGACCCACCAGTAATCTAGCAGGAACTTCAAAAGTATATTCAGTCTGCATGCCTTTTCAGTTCTTTGAAAAGGGGTTATTAAGTTGAAGAAACCATCAAGAATTGAAGTAAAAATCAAGGATTTTCTCCTGTTTAATGCATTTCATGAAGGCTGCCAAACAGGCATCGGACTTTCAACTGCTGTCTGTCTTTACTGGATTTAAATCAGACAACTCTAATCAAAGCTTTCAAATCCAGGTGCATTCCCCTAAGTACACTGCCTTCCATGCAGTCCTTCTAAAGTACTTTTTGATACTGTGTTATTATTTTTCAGAGTTGCAAGGAGCACTCTCAAGAGACTTGAGTGCCTGAGCAATATGCCTTATTCTGTAAGCAGATGTGACTTTACAAGAAAAAAGAATATGTAATGATCCCTCTTCATAGACCTTACCTTGTGGCTACACTGTCTATCCTGCCATTAAAACAAGCGTGTGTGAGGGATTCTGACTTAAACTGCTATGATTTAAGAATAAGCAAACTATTTGTCAAAAATTCAGACTCGGGGGAAAAATAGTTTTCTCCAAGTTGGCACTGAACTGCTTACCATCTTGCTTACTCAGTAGGCCCAAAATGAAAAGCAATCTAGAAAGCTGTCAAGAACCATGCTGAGCTGACAACACCTTGAGTCCCTCCTGGAACATTCCTTAAGCAAGATAGTATTAAATAGATTATCATTCGTCAAGTCTGCTGAAAGCAGATAATGTTCTGCTTGGAAGGAGATCACTGTATGCTAATCGTATTCCAAAGGAAGGCTTTTGGCTGTGGATAATCCTCAGAATTAGAAAGGAGTGGGAAATAACATTGGCGCTGTTTCAGAAACACGGAGACTATAAAGGAGTTTATAAAATTTAGAGTGTGTTACAAAGTAGGTTTTAAAAAACCTTATGCATTTATAGATAGGTTTGTAAAGTTTACAGAAAAAATGTCAATGGAGACAACTCTAAATGAAAAAATTAAATTTGCATTTGCAATGCTAGAACGAACTGGCCAGAAAGTAAAACAGAATACATCTACACTTCACTGGCTACTTCTAGAGACTGCCACTGTGAAAGCATGCACTACCTACTTCTTCTTGCTCTACTGGCAACAAATGCCCCACCCTCTCCTTTCCAGAGAAAGAGAAATAAATGCTGTTTTTGGGTGCGTGCCCAGAGGATTCCCTATGATTGTGACAGAATCAAAGAAAATAGCTCTAGAATGGATACCAGGAAGCCATCTAGTCCAGTCTCCTGCTCAATGAACATCCCTGTCTAAATCATCCTAGTAAAATGTTTGTCTGACCTGCCCATAAAAATTCCAGTGATGGTGATTCTCAACTCATCTACGTAATCTGCTCCATTACTTAATTGATCTAATGGTTAAGCGGTTCTTTTTAAAATCTAACCTAAATAATTTTGCAACTTAAACTCATTACTTCTGGTCCTGTCCCTTGTGGGTGCAAGGAACAGTTGATCACCTTCCTCTGGGCAACAATCCTTTTTGTATTTGAGCATGATTAGAACCAAGAACAGCACTGGGCTTGCCCTGGAAGTGTAACAAAAAGCAGCTATTTGACTTTTTGGGGGGAATTCTGAATGCATGGAAAGTGAGGGTGGTGAGGCACACCTGCATGCTACCACAGCAATACAAGTTACATGGCTGTTAAGTTATGAGGGTTTTGCACAGTTGGATAGCCACTGGAGCATGCAGGCACAAGTACCACCTAACAGTGAACAGCAATATCATTCTGCATCAATACACAGTTATATCTAGTTAATTCACTACTCCAAGGGGGTTGGTAACAATGACTTCTTATCCATGAGTGACTAAGGCCCCTGCTACATGTTATATATATTACTCAATTAACTGGTAAATCTCATAATGAATTTAGACCAACCACATGTGCAAAGTAATTATCACACCATAAAAATGACTATGCAGCTATAAAAAGAGCCAAGCAGCTACAAAGTTAGTGCTTCAAAACATGTAACACCCGTATAGCTGGTTTAATTTGAACATGTAACAGGGCCCAAAGAATCAGCAGTTTGCCATTTTCAGATTTTCTTGAGTTGTATTTTGCCTTCCATATCAAGACATAATAAAGAATAATTTTTGACATTTATAATGACAAAAACAAATCTTATAAAACTTCTAAGTGTAGACTGCATACCCTCTGACTCATACGTAAGAATGTTATGATTTCACAGAAAAATGCTTAATGTTCAATTTCTTCTTATAAAAATGTACAGTGCTCACTATGTAAGAATTACATGACTACGATATAGTAAATAATCAAATAAATGTGCTTTACACCCCTACATACACTCAGAATAGAAGATAATACTGCAAAATAGAATGGTTAACCACCTATGTCTTGTTAAGCCAAGAAAAGTAAAGAATGCCCACTGATTTGAAAGCATCAGATGGCTTGAATGGTGTAATGCAAGGTATAGGACAGTCCCTTTGAAATTGACTGCTGAGCAGGGTCAAACCCCATTGTGATTTAATGTGTGTATATCTGGATATGACTAATAATGCTTTAATGAATAACTAATCAGCTAAAGTGTCTTTAAATAAAACAAAAACAACAAAAATAGACTCTGTTGGTGATTCAATATACAAACTTATAATACCATAGCAGTTAGTTATCTTAATGGTGCATTCACCAGATTTCACTGCAATTGTTAAGTCGGTCTATGTCCTAAACTTATAACAATAAGAAATATAAAGCTTCTCAATTTTACTTCCGTAAATTCTTTACCAATAATGGATTTTTTTTTTATATATCACAATATGTTTTAATCTTGATAGTTTACATTTAATTTGAAACTTCAAGTAAACATTTTCCATACTCCATAACTCATCACTCAGATATTTTACTGAGCTGCCAGAAGTGAAAGACTAGAGTTTTCTCACCTGCTTTTCCCCTGAATTCTGTTTTAAATAGAAATGCTTCCCCAAATAGGCACCTTTTCGCTCCTAATGAAATCAGTGGAAGTTATGCTCTTGTGGAAGCATGACTGGCTCTCAAAATAACAAACTATTAATTAAGAAAGAGGGCCAGACCACTGTAACAGTTTGTGAATTACCAATTCTGATAGATACTATATAAACGTTAATAAATACTTTTCTTTAAAAAGAAAGAAACAAATCATTTTCAGTAGATTTCCTGAGAGAGAACAGTATATACCATTTTTTTCTTGCAAAAATCTTCTGATGTCAAGGAAACATGCCCTAGCTTAGTGGCTTAACAAGTTTTGCTTTGTTGTTGTTTTTAGTGTTCATTTTGTGTAATGAAACTGCCGGTGTAATAATCAGCTTTGTTAACGAAAGGCACCCCCTGCAATAGGAACTATACACACATCTCACAACCTTCACTTAATTTTAATCATGGTTTGCTCTTCAGCAGAGAGAAACATGATGTGGAATAGTGCCTATGTTCCTAGACAGTTTCCCAGATGAGTGGCTGCTTAAGATGAAAACATATTGTGAAAAGAGACAAAGATAAGCCCAGTACACATCATGGAAGTGGCAGATTTTGAAATTAAACCTCCCTCCCCCTCAATAATAAAATAGTAAACTTTTCCAACCAGATTTCAATGCGCGAAATGTGTATTTTGGAACTAGCTACATGCTGGTATGTCTTTAATAATATTAAGTGACTTTATCCTTACATACCTGTAACAATTATTATGGAATTTGTTATAGGAAGAGAGAGTAATTAGACCTCCCCATGCGGCAGATAAGGAGAAGAAAATCTGAGTGGCAGCATCTTTCCACACCTAGGAAAGCACAGAAGACAAAACAGTTTCTGCCTCGTAAAGGGTTGTGGAAAGTCATAAAAATCAGTAACAGTACTTAATATTACCGTTGAGAGCTTAACATGCAAATATTTTAAACAATACTAGTGCAACTAATGTCAGTAGGAAAACAGTTATGGACAAATTCTGGCTTCAGTTAGATGATATCCATTTGAATTAATTGAACTTTAGCTTGAATAAGAACAAGCCACTTAACTGAGAACAAAATATAATCTTTGGCAGGGAGAGAAGGCATAAATATTCAGTGAATAATGTTCTGTATGAGATGGAATGGATTTGCCATGTTCAAAGAAAATAGTGTAATTCAATACCACTAGGTCGTCTTTCAGGTACCCAGTCTAAGTGGAATATTCTCCTCTTGATGTAAGTAATTAGCTGTACTTTATGTTAAAATATACAGTACAAACCAAATTTAGTACAGTAAAAGCCATGTTAACTAGCACAAGTGGGGTAAGGGAGATGCCAAGTATCTAAAAATTCCAGTTATCTGAGGCAGGGGTTTTCAACCTTTTCGAAAAACCCTGCAGTGCAGGGGGGGCAAAGGAAGAAGGTGGTGGTAGTCGCCACATGCGAGCTTCCCCGCCTCCCCCCCCTGCATCTGGCTGGAAATTCCAGTTAGAGTATTTCAGATAGTAGAAGCCGGTTAACACAGCTTTTAAATGTATGAGTTTCAGTGGAAATTGTGACCGCTTGCAAGCCAATTTAGTAAAATCAAAATATATACCCCTTGCCCCATCCCCCACACATCCTGGGTCCAAGAATTCTAAAAAAGTAAAAATCCCAGATACCGTCCGTACTACAGAATATTAGTGATTTTCTACACAACATGAGCAAGCCTCAAAAGCATTTAGAGCAAGAGTTTTTTTAGATGTGCTTTCCAAAATATTTCTTCATCTTTCCTAGAGCTAGTCCAAGTTTGCCAATATTGAGTCACTTCATTAAAAATGTTTCAAGAAATACATGGTGGGGGGAGGTGTTCCAACCAACTATAAAGATGATTATACTTCTTAATATTGAGAAATGTCTTTGATTTTTTAATTTTTTTAAACAAAAAATATGAAAAAAAACACATTAAAAAAAAACAAAACAGTTCTCCCATTTAGGCTAATAAGTGGGGCCAGGTTTCCAAAATTGTTCAACTCTCAGCATTTTTCATTCTACTTCAGAAAGGTTTTCATAAGCTACTTCAGGAATCTCTCTGCTGATTTACCTAATTGGGAAATGAGTCTTCTGAAAGTTCTAATCCCTAAAACTAATTAAAAGATGTTTTCCCAAGTTTGGTTTCATGGCAATTGGCTTGGAAGAGGTACAAAAATCACAATTATTACATCACCAAAAGGCTGATAGCATATTTCCCTTTGGAACTTGCAATACTCACCCGAGGTCTGATATCTCAACAGAGTCATTCCCAGAGAATACCAAAAGGTTACGGGAGTTTCTATAAAAACAAATCTCCCTGTCTCTTCTCCATTCGCACACACACATTCCTCCCCTTCCTCTGCTTATCCTTGAAGTCTAACCCTTCACTAGCTAAGGGAAAAAATCGGAGGTGTGTCTGAAGCCAAACCTCAGATTCAAACACCCCCCATCTTTTGAGAGGATCACATAAGTAAACTGTGTGTTGCGTCATCTCATTAAAATGACATGGCAAAGATGACAGGGAGATTTCTATTTCTTAATCAGGTCCATCAGGTAGAAACAGTGCTGGGTTTTACAGGGCTAGACACATACTTACATGTTTGGAGATCCTCAGCTTGCTAACAAAATAAAACTTCTCACCCTCTTTACTTCCCACTGTTGGGTCCCAATATTCTGCTCATACTTATAATGTAAAATGTTTGCACTTTGCTTGGAAAAGTATTATTGCTCACAACAACACAGGATTTAAAAAACAAAACAAAAAGCCAAACACAGAGAAGCTACTAATTAACAAATAATTGTTAGTATGCAACCACAAGGGAACTATTTTCCAGCTCTGATCTAGATGCAACTAACATCACACCTAATTTCTATTGGGAAAGATCATTAAAATGTTGGAAAAATCAGCTGATTTCCTGACTTGTTAACACTTCTTAACAGATTTCACTAATCCTAGTCTTCAAGTTTATATGGCTAACTATCTCTCCCTAAGACTTGAATTTAATATCTGAAGTTCACCCTACACTATTATGCCTCTATTGTTGAACACCGTCTCCAGGCCCTATCTGTTGTCAGCAGCAAATTAGTAAATGGTGATGAGGAGGACGTTAATAATAATAACAATGATGATGATAAGCAATAAGCTATTAGTTATTAAACATAATTTGTAACTGTATGGGGAAAAAAAGTCATTTTGAAAGAGGAGACATGACTCCTTTGCTAAGACATGCTGTAGATTTTTCCAGTACTAGGATTCAGGTGCTAAATCCATCAACCTTAACCTTCAGTGGACAGTTAGTAGATCTGTTCACCCATAAAATACAGCTGTAACATCAGGAATGCAGGTGTTCTACATCAGCACAGTTTTATACAGAAATATAATTGGGCGGAGAATATTATATGACTTTATCTGATAATGACTGAAGCAGGATATCCCTTTTCATAATAATCTTAATTTTTAGTGAATAAAATGCATCTGCTTTCAGGAAATGTGAAATCATTTACAGAAATAAAACTATACTTCATATAAGTAGGTTGTGCTATTCATGAAAGCATACTGCATTCTGCATATAATAAAACAACAAAGGACAATTCAGAAACCAACTTTTCTAACCCTGTCCTACTTCTCTGTTTTCTGAGTATTTATCATACTTCTACTCTGAAACATTCTGTTTTGGGGGATTCGGGAAAAATATTCATAATATATTGCAACAAAATATAAAATAATGTACATATATATGACATTGCCTGTACTTTATACACACACATAGATACATGCACAGCTGATAAATATCCACTGTATCAAGTTATATGGTAGCATAATTAAAAATACAACAAATTAGCGAGATATGAATAAGGCTCCGCAGATAAAATGGCATGATAAAAATACCAGTATTGCACACCTCATATATGTTTGTAATATACAGTAAGAAAAAATCTGTATGAATTATTCACCCAATCAGAGTGTTATAACTGGAATAATAAGCCCACCATTGCATCCACCAGTTTCTCCCATTTAGGCGTGATGAAGTACCAAATTCCAGCCCCAGCTCCTGGCAACGTTACTCCTCTGACAAGTAGGATGATAAGCACTACGTAAGGGAATGTAGCAGTAAAATACACCACCTAGAAACAACACAAAAGATTATTGGTTTGGATTATCTGAAGCCATATAAAAAGTCCAAGTATACTCTTCCCTGAAAAAATAAATTATTCAGCATCAGAGACACTGGCCACAGGCTACAAAGACAATAGGATTATTTCCCAAGAAACCTGACAAGGCTGTCATTTTTACAGCTCTCCTTGCTAGTGGCAATAGCAATGATATTAAAGGCTGAGTCACAGGGTACTGAGGTACTAGACAGTTAAGAGACAGTCAGGAGAGAATGGGAATAAAAGTTGGATTTTTCATCCAATTTCAAATATCCAGTCAGGTCCCCAGCGGAGGGAAACTAACCTAGCTCTGTGGGAGTCAAATGAGCAACTTATACTAGGTAAGTATTTGCTCCATTCTCTAACTTCCTCTACATTATTTTCCAGTAAATGACTAGCCCTGAAAGATTCTTGTTATTGTGTTTGTTTACATTTCTTAATAAATATGTATCACTATTTAAATAATTATGGGGCCCTTAATAAAAATGCATCACTATTTAAATAAGTATTGGCCCAATGCAATGTTCATTTGAAAATGTATGGGGGGAAATAAATGAATTCATGTAGAGAACGAAATTCATTCATGTAGAGAAAAGAAATAAATTCATTCATGTATGAGAAAAAGAAAGTTCATTTGAAATTAGCAGTGAAAGGAGTGACACTGACTTTAGTGACACTGGGATCAGACACCATGCATCTAATCACTTGGATTAATTATAAAATATTCCAGAGATTCAGATTATCATGTGAAATTGTTCCCACTGGTCATATAAAAAGACTAAATCAAGGTCTCAAGTCTGATTTGTAGCGCTTCCCTCCTTGGAACTCAGACCTTCTACTTCCACCTGCTGAACTGAAGTGATTTGTAAATTGATTTTCCTAGATTCCCCCTTATTTGAAACCTCTCTGGGATTAGCATTTGCCCCTACCCTCAACTGTTGCTGTATAGGCAGTCTTCTCTTCCCCGTTATCTCACCAGCTTTTGTTTATGAAAACTTTTCTGGGAAATTGCAGAGGAACGAAGCATTGAGGGACCACAATGATATTTTTGTCCCAGTGGAAGTGATAATGTAAAATTGTGACTGTTCCAAAGTACAATAGGTTGATTATGAGGTATATAAATAATTGACATCAAAGACACAATATATGACTAAAACATTTAATTGACTAGAACTCCCTAGGTGCTCATGATAATCGGATTGCTTATCAAACTCCTGGATACAAACTCCTGGAAGGCTGCTTCAGGCTTAATACCAGGAAAAACTCTTTCACAGTCAGGGTGTCCAGACCGTGGAATAAACTCCCTCCAGCGGTGGTGCAATTACCTACCCTGGAAATCTTCAAAAGGAGAGTGGACAGTCACCTCGCTGGGGTCACTTGACCCCAGTTGTCTTTTCCTGCCTGGTGCAGGGGGATTGGGCCCAATGATCTACAAAGTCCCTGCCAGCCCCGAACAACCTATGAATCTATGAATCAGTTTAATCCCTTCCTTTCAGCAAACTGCCCATAAACAGAACACAACTTTCTTGTTTATATTAGTTCCTCAAAACAATACATTTAGTCAAAAAATGTTGCCCTGTATCATTTGAGGTATGTCTGCACCATGGTGGCAGAGTACCCAGCAATGCCACCACAGAAATAAACCCCAGTCCTTGCTCCCACTCTGCATGTGTCAACCCTGAAATGAGGTGGTAAGGACATCCTGAGGGGTGTCCCCAACACTTAAAGGAAAATCTGAAGCTCAGGCTCTCTCAAGAGCAGCAGTCTGGAGCATTATCACCTGACTTTAAGGGTTGAAGTATATAAAGTGGGAGGGAGAAGACCAGGATTATTTCTGTGGTATCATCACTGAACTGTTACACTGTGTACATGATATTGATTGCAGAGATTTAAAATGTGTGGTAGAATTGTTAGCTCCATCACATATCAATGGTATGTCAACATTAGCTCAACACCAATTCTGAAACCACTGCTGTAAAATAGAAGCTCTGTCTCTAGCCTGCTTGACAGTGTTATTCACGGCTGGGGGCAGGGGAATTTCCAGGCTCCTCACCACCTCACCTCCAGTTTAGGGTGTGCAGAGTGGAAATGAATGGGTTGGAGATATATATATATGCTGCCAAATATATATCTATATATTTGGCAGCAGTCTCAAGACCAGTGGGACCAGTGCAAACCTACCCACTGAGAGGTAGACACCTGTCCACCAAAGTCACTTTTGAAAACAGGGCCTAAAATACTTGAGACATGTTTTTAAATCCTACCCTATATACATAACAGATTTGCTCCGAATATAGAGCGTACAGAAAGATCTTTTGAAAAGACAAAGGTATAATCTTAAAAACTGAATAGACTTTAATGATACCAGAGGCCTATTTCATGAAACCATAGTCACTGAACACACAATCATCAATGCAGTTGCAGGTGGCATGCACATTAATGCTAGATGAATGAATCATAATTAATATTGCTATAACACGTGCATGGCTAATGAATAAACAGTGGTGAGCTGCTTGTTAGAAACAAATTGTTTACAATAGGTTCCTTGATAGTCATTTCTTTAAAAAATATTTAAAAAACAAGCTAGACTGTGAGATGGCAGGAGAGAGAAAAGACATTGTTGAATTATCCCCCAAATCTGTACATGTGTGATCTGAAAGTGCAATGAGGAATATTTTCAATTAATACTAATTATTTATCAAAAAGGAACAATCAGCTGCAAAGCTTACAGTCACAGCCTGTTGATTATTGTAATTAGAAGAAAATATGATTCTGCATTTTTTACCTAGATTTTTCCATTTCCTTACTTAATTCTCATTTTTGTTTAAGAAAAGTAGATAGTGGCTGCTGTCATCTGAGATGGCTGCTGTTCCCAGTTTAATGTGCTGTTTCCCAGTAAAACCAACCAACTGTACTGGTACTAATGGGAACCAATGACGTCAGAAACACTGGATGTCTAAGAAGCAAGAAAATGAGTTTTCTATCTCCCATGTCTTGTCTGTGTGCGCCTGTTTAACTGATTCAGTTAAACTAATATAAAAAAGTGTAAAAGCACTTTGTCTAGTTTATTTTAATTTAATCAGGAATCCATTTAAGATAAACTGAAATAGGATCTTGTAACCCCAACTAAGGAGTGTCCATGCGCTTAACCAATCTAAGTTAAATCATTACTACTTTCCCTATAAAGGAGAATACCACAATAAACTGAGCATTCAGCCCTCTTAGATTAGTTTACAGTCTTGGTCCAGTTCCTAGTGGACAGATTATGCAGGTGACAGAACCATATAGCTAACATTAACAGAACTGGCACCCTTTCTAGCCAAATTAATAGGGAACTCAAGAACCTACATGACTTGGAAACTGAACAACCTTTTTTCCACCAAGGAGGTGAACCTACAGAGTAGGCTTGAGGCACATAGCAATGCCCCAAAGCTTCCTTATTCCTTTCCAGATGAACCTACTGTGATGAAAGGATTTCAGTCCCCAGTGCTGTGGGACCAACATTTTTCACTAGCATTAGATTCACTTAAAGAAATGGTATTGCTTACCATCTGCAAACCCCAAATTATTCTCTCGATCCTCTTGCACTTTGCCCAAACATTTTGAGAGCAAATTTCCTCACTTTGTTAAGACATTTAAAGAAACAGATTTTCCCTGGGCCACTTGTTTTCTGCTTATTTTCTATTCTATCCTGTTATTAGTAGCTAAAATATAATCAGGAAGTGATTACTATATGCTGCTACCCAAATCCATTTGAAAAGGGATGCCCTGAGGTGTTAGGTTCTGAAAGCAATCCTTAAAAGTACCCAGCAATGTCTGTAATTCCCATTGTACTTCCTAGGAAATGGAATTCTGGGCTGAGATTTAAACTTTCTTCCTTCAGTATTGTTAGAGATACGGTTTAATTTTAATATCTGAAGATGTTTTTACTGTAACTACTAGTATGGTTTTAACAATGTGTACTGTGCAGAAAAATGTAAAGATGTCATTTTTGCTTGTTTGAAGCACAGCTGATAAACACATTAAAATAGATCATTTAAAGTCTGTGAAAGCCTCTGTAGATTTCTAAGAAGCTGTGAACTTCTAACTAAAATAATTTGCTGATTCCATTAGTTTCTGGTTAATTAGAAATTTAGGAGAAAATCCTGGTAAAACAATTTAATTGACATTTACTTAAATCAGCTATCTGCTGCCTAGTCCTGCACCAAGTATTCCTACTGAAGTTAACAGGAGTCTTTAATATACAAGGAATATATTTGGATCCAATGCGTTCCACTCTACAATGTTCCCACAATGTGGAAAAAGCTTCCCCAAAATGTCCCACCTGTTATACCAGTGGCTATAAGTATCACTTCTATCCTGCAGCTTGTCCTTGTCCCCACTTACAATTCTTAATAGGCTCAGTTTCCAATCAGTTCCCACATAGCTTATGCTGACAGTGCCTTTGAGAGATTCAGCACCTTTGGTTATAGCACTACTAATTTAAAAACAGCCTAGTGCACTGTTACTGATTTATGTTTATAAAGAAAGATTCTTACTTTTCCTGATGTCTTGATTCCTTTAGCAAGGGATAGGTACACAATTACCCACGCCAGAAAGAGAGAGAGCACCAAGGGCCACCTGATTTCACCGGGATATTCAATCCCTGCAGAAATCTTCAACACAAAGTACCTACGAGCCAAAAAGTTAGTGATACTGATAGTAGGCAGTAGTCCATCCTAGCATTTATACTAGCTTGACATTGCTTATAGTACTGAAAGGTTTTTCCCCCCCCCCCATCTACTTCAAGGGCTCCAGTAAATTTTACTTCATTATTATTATTTGCATTGAAGTGGGATTGAGGCGTGCTAGTCATGGACCAGGGCTCTATTGCACCAGGCACCCGACAAACAGAAAAATTAAAATATTTTTCTCTCTTAAAACTTGGTTCTATCATTTTCCACATCTAAATGTCCATAGTATTGTCTGTGTGCATTTATAGTTTTATTAATCACTCCCCGATCAATTATTTATTGCATATATGACCCACTTCATGGGATCACTAAACTCTAGCAGGAAAGGAACTGGACATTTTCCAGGGATCTTACTTGAAATATTCTTCACTTCCACTGACAAACGTTTTATTTCCTTGGCTGGTGAAGTTAACCATTGTCAAGTTTGGATAGGCACTCATACAAAAAGTAGAGTTCTTGATTTGTATTTTAGGGTGGTCACCAATGATGCAGGAATCTATCAGGAAAACATACAAATAAAGGGAGAAAAGAACAGGGTTAAATTATTTTCTAGTGCGGATGTGTAGTTTAGGCAAATTTTGCTTTAGGCAGGCCTACTTAATAATATATTACTATATTAATATATCTTACTTCTCTATAACACCTTCTGTTCAAGGATCTCAATGCACTTTATAAACAGCATTTTACAAAAGGAAAAGACACAAAATGTATTTACTATAAAATCTCTGGTAGAAGTGGAGCAGACATACAAGGCAAATACATGCCATACAGTGTTATGCCAGTACAAAAGGAATCAGGACTCAAGGTAGAGACTGATATCTTTTATTAAACCAACTAGATTTTTGCAAAAGAAAAATATTTAATTGCGAGCTTTCAGGCACAAGCACCCTTCATCAGGCATAGGAGAAAAGATTGTAGAAGTTCTTCTAAGTAGAAATGAAGGTTCATATTTTATAGGAGAGTTAAAGATGTGGTAAAATCTCCTGTTTGGAACAGTTCATTTTAGGCTCAGAGAAAAGTTGGAACAGTGTACCTTGAAGTTGTTTGGTAGCAGGCAGGATGTAGTCATATTTCCTTCCTTCTCCTTGCAGAAATCTAGTTGGTCTAATAAAAGATATCACCTCTACCATGAGTTCTGATTCCTTTTGTCTCTAGGGCAATACAGCTACAGCCTGGATGCCAGTAGAAGTCACTCCAGCTCTGGACCAAACTTACCCCCTCAAAGTTAAGAAAAACCAATACCAGGGTAAGTTGCACCAGTATATAAGTCATATATCTGTTCCACTAACAGATTGCAGCCCAAGATGACACACTGCTCACTGCAGACTGGTTCCCCTACAATTTCCTGGCTCTAATAGGTCAATTATGGGCAGTCAGCTTAGGAGACCTGACCGTGTGTCTTTTCTTTAGCATTTACGAGAGCAAAATGCACTGTAAATTATTCCCTTATAATTAAACTGTGCATCTTAAGGGGCAATGTCCATCTCATTTAGCTGGTGATGTTATCATTTTTTTCACAGACACATAATATAAGATATAAAAAGATTTGGGGATTTGATTCAACAGCTATTATGACTGAGCAAAGGATGCAGATTCAGTTCCCAAGTGACTCATTCAGGCAAATAGATAAGCAAGGGCAAAGAACGCAGGACTCTCCTCTTCAACTCTTCTGTTCTGTCTACTAAAATAGATGACAATCCACTCGCACATAAAGAAATTACACAATCTCACTTCCAACAAGAGGCTAACTATGAAGGACAACTGGGTTCAAAGTACACTGCCATAAATGTTAAAGAAAGTAATAGGGTTGTATTTTAGCCACAGAATTATCAAACTAAAATCCTAGAGATCAATTTTGCAGGAATTTGGATCCAGATCTAGATGTCACTTGGTAGATATTCCCATAACATGCAGTTAAACTCAAGATCTGAAAACCCCCAACTGGAGAAATCTTAGTCATTCTGGATCCAAATTATGTGACCTGAAGTAATTATAGCCTGACTCAAAACCTTCTATGATTGTATTTATGACTGGCTTTGCCAAACATTGCAAAGGTCACCAATATGTTAAAAAAAACAAGTTAATCCACAGTTCTTTAATTTGAGTAAGAAAAGCAGATTTTCTAAATGGATTTACTGACAGATATCTGACATACTGTGTATGTGTGCCTATACGGTGTGTATGCGAGAGAGATTGGGAGTGTTGTCACATTCGCTTTAATGAGCAGTAGCTTATTTTACTGCATATTAAAGCATCACATAGAAAACTGCAATTATGTTAATGGACAGTAAGATAGGCTACTATACACTGCGTCATGTAAAAACCATGCAAATTCATTACTGCGTATTAAGGAAGCCTAATGTGTATTTCTTTAGTACCTCACATTGGAGGTACTAAATTTAATGCACTTTAAAAAAAGCACCTTAATGCACATGTAGACACACCCATTGGGTGTGTCTACATGTGCATTTACTGTGCATTAAATTTACTATACAGTAATTTACTGTGCAGTAAGTGGGTTTAGGCCGGCATCTATGCATGCAGACATTAAAGTGCAGTAATGCTGTGTGTGGACTGACATGGGACTAAAATTAGTCCCAAGTCAGTCCACACGCAACACAGTGTTACTGAGCAGTAAGACATCATGCATCACTGTGCAGTAACTAATTAGGTGTAAGTTTGATACCTGCATGATGCAGGTATCAACTTTATGCCCAAGTCGATGTAAGTCACCATATTTACATATGTGCAGTATGGGCATGCACATATAGCCTGTACTGCACAGTAATTTTTGCTTACTGTGCAGTAAATGTGCACATATAGATATGCCTATTATGTATCTGTGTAATCCACTGAGGCTTAACAACTTCCTAACTCAGAACTTCCATAATTATAAATTAGTGCTTTCAGTTACCCTGGATGGAATTATTGCATTGGGTCACCTATGAGTTGTCCAATGCTACAGGATATTTGTGATAAAATAAAAAAACAAACAAACCATAAAATGAAGAAGGTTATCCAGCCACAGCAGGAAGCCCATACTACTCCTTGGTATTGATAAATATAGCCACCACTGGAGAGCTCAGGTTGTTGCTCAAAAGCAAACCCAGACTGCCCAGAAATTTGTATTGTCACAATGCAAAGCAACCAGCAGAGGGAGTCATATAGGCTGTCATTGCCTTTCTCCACTGATGCTCTCCTATCTCATTTCTACCTGCTTGTGGATGTGGAGGCCTTTATACCTGGAACTCCCATGAGAAAATATATGGTAATTTGTCAGATTATACCCCAAATTTGCTTCCTCTGCCTATAATCATAGGGCAGGGGGTGGGACAGGACTTCAAGTGTCATCTACTGCAATCCTCTGTGCAGAAGGCAGGATTTGCTATTCCAAAATCATTCCAGACAGATGCTTATCCAGACTCTTCTGGAAAAACTATGAAGGAGATTCCATAACTTTTACAGGCAGCTTGTTCCATTGTCTTACTATTCCTATGGTTAGAAAGTTCTTCCTGAGATTCAATTGAAATATGCATTGCTGTAATTTAAGCCTAATTACTTGTGCCCTGTCCTCTGCGGCAAACGAAAACAGTTTCTCAATCTCCTTTAAGGCAGCCTTTCAAATAATTGAAACCTGCTACCATATTCCATTTTCATCCAACTAAACATACCTATTCCTTCCAGTCTTCTGCAGCTTGCATTCAAAACCCTTTATCATCTTCAAAGTGTGCCTCTAGATCCTCTCCAGTTTCTCTCTCTCAAACTACAGTGGAAAAACTGGACAAGGTAGTCCAGTACTATACATAGTCATGCAACACTATGCAGCGATAATAATTAATATCCTTCACATTTAAGGAAAACCTTTCAATACAATGTCAGCCTCAGTGTGTGTGTGAATGCATGTGTGTACCCTCTCTCCCTGTCAACATTCACTCAATCTCAGAAAATAAATCATACATAAACACTAGAATTGTTTCTCCCCTTTCCCGATACAGATACACTTTACTGAGCACTATGACCACATTACAAACAAGTAGTAACTTTCCAGTCTATGCTACAACAGAAATCCTTAGGTTACATATCTATCTGCAAACCATCCTCTTTTTATTGAATCACAGTAGGCGTTGGGAGTGATTGACACATTAGGTCACTTCTGCTGCACTGCAGCAATTCTATACAGCATTAAAATTTTATGGCTTAGCTCTCTTAAGCCTTTGGTTTTCTTGCACTATTCACTTGATAGCAGCAGAGGGCACAATTGTACTTTCAATGTTAATCCACTGCAACCATGCTCAAAGAAGTCTACATTTGTTTGTATGCAGTGTTATTCATCAAAGCCAAACACTCATACAAGAGAAATAATGATTAGACTAAATTGGAAGATGTTAGCATAAAATTACATTTACTTGAGCAATTATTAATAAATAAAAGCAGACATTTTTAGATCAGAAGAGCACTTTAATTACATTCCAGAAGTGACTGTGCTTGTTTTTTCATATAAGAACATTGATACGAATTTTGTATGCTTCCAACACCTGTCAGGACTAATATTTTAAGACATCCCAAATCTCTCCATTGTTCAGGGCAAGCTAAAATATAACCTGCAGAGAAGTTGATTTCACCAATAAAATATTAGCTATGAGAAAGGTAGGAAAGTATTAGCTGTAAGATAGGAACCGATCATGTTTGAGGTATATTGTTAAAACGTAAAGCCTTTGGATTCAGCAAAGCGCTAAGCCCATGTTTGACTCAAAACACCAGGAGCAGACGCTCGTCTTCAGCTTGCTTGCTTGTGCCTAAAGTTAAGCTCATGCTCAAGTGTTTTGCTAAATGGGGACGTAGTACTATATTCAGGTTATGCTTTCTTAGCATTTGTTAGTAGAGGATATTAAATGATTTAAGCAGAGAAGCAGTTATACTTTAGGTATTCAGTTTTGAAAGGGGCAGGTTTTGAGGTTTTTCAGGTGCATACATGAAACCCCTTCATTCAGTTTATACAACTAACACCTGGTTCATCACCTATCTTTGCAAGGTGAAGAATGAAGAGACACAATGAAGAAACAGAGGAGTTTTCAATCTAGAGGTCACAGATAGATGTGAAAGGCTGACTTCAGAACGGTAGAGCTAAGACTCAGATTGTTCTGTGGATCAATTCAACTGCAGTGTAAGCATTCACAAGCTCCACTGAACCAAGTCTGACTACATCAGGTTGGAATTTGGCCTGTAATCCCAATCAGAATTAAGCACAGATATATGTACCAATTTTCACTGACTTCATAGCAGAGGGTCAAATGCTAAATTACTTAGCCTGACTCCTCATTTAAATCCTTTATATCCATTTTAAATGAATGGGGAGTGGCAGGGGGTTAAATCTTAAAAGCAAACAGCTTTATGTCTTATTATGTTCCCACTTCTTCTTGTACATTTGTAAAGCTGAGCAAATAAATTCATAAGGAATAATACACTCAGTCATTTTTCATCTCTGTTGGGTTGGTGAATCATACAATAGATGTTAGTTTGTTGAATTTACTGTTATTTGATGAGATTTGCCATCTCTTTTCTACCAAGTATTCAGAATGAAAAGTCATTATTATTCATTTAAAAGTAGCTTCCTACTTCCTAAAAACCACTATTGAGAACTGAACAAGTGAGCATTCACACCTGCAGTCCCATTAACTAAACTATTTTCAGTAAGCATATTCAACAGACAAGCAAACAGAATAAGCGAGTTTCTTTGAAAACATGAAAATGTTCATTCTGCGGTATTTCACGGTGCAATCCAAGTCAATGACATTTGGATCAGGCTTCTACAACACGCACAGTCATAAAATGAAAGATCTGACTCAGCCCTGCAGGCCAATAGAAAAACTTGTGCAGTGATTGCACACTTTGGGCAAGATTTATTGCTGATATAACTGAAATGTAATCAATGGGGTTACACTATATATAAATTTGGTTCTCCTGGGTTCTTTCATACTGCGTCAATGACTAAAATATTCACCCATCATCAGGCTTCCCTGTTCCACCCCCAAAATGGGTTTGTTAACCAATAAAGATTATATATCAGTGATTAATAAGGTGTAATCAGTAATTGGTCATTTTAATGATCCATTGCATAAGGAAGTGTCTTCTGTAGCCTTATCAGTCTAAATGCACTGAATTGCATTTAACCTTGAAGCATAAGATGACCTTGCAAGTGCTCCAATATTATAGTACAGACTTGGTTGGTTTAAAAAAAAAAAAAAAACAATTTATTTTGTGAGAATTCTTTGGTTAATCTTTTATAATTTGTTCAGGCTTTTTCAGCTTTTAATCAAGATTTCCGTTTTCAAAAACTATATTAAGTAAAAAGAATTAGAGTTAAACATTATATTTTTATCAAAACCCAAAAGAATTGGACTTAAACATTATATTTTTTTTATCAAAAACCAAAACTGCTGAAAATTAGATTTTTTTTTGCAAAAAAGAAACTTTCTGGTGTCTGTCTTTTTTAATTGAAAAACCAGGGCATTTTAGTCAATGTGAAAAGTTGGAATTTTTCTTGTGGTGAAAAAAAGACCTATTTCATTTTTCTACTTCAGTCTTGAAAAAAAAAAACATCAGTGGGGAAAAGATGAGCCTACAGATCTCAAAGAAAACTTCACATATGGCTGACTAGGCCAATTTACCAAATGATACCACCGCTGAGATACAGAACTTGATGTCACCCAAATAAAAACCACAGTATTCCTCCCTCACGACCTCTTAGATCCATGACATAAGCCTTCCTCATCTAAACAGTATGGAAAAGTCCCCCAAACACTATGCAGAGATAGGAGTGCACACCCCAACTTACCTAGTAAAAGTTTGTTTTTATCTTTACAGTCTGGTGTGTTCCAGGGATTGTTACAGGAAGCCCAAGGTAATACAGGTACAAAGGATGCAAAAAGGTAGAAAAGTGTGTAGCACAGAATAATATTATAATATATGGCTATTAGAACAGAGATGATCAGCATCGCAATGCCACAGCCTGCAAAAAAAAAAAGAGAGGGGAGCAGGAAAGGAGTATAATGGCACTGATAAATGTATGGTATCAATTAACTACAAGATATAACAACCTTGTCTGTGTAAAGGAACATTTTCATTTGGTGTAGATATAAAATGTATCTCCAAGAAGGAGGGTGGATATATAATATAACATATATAATAGTTGCCCTGCACCCCCCTCCCAGCACTGGATATGCAAGTCAGTGACTGATCCCTCTGTTTTCTTTTTAAATAGTCTGTAACAGAAGTAAAAAAGAGGGTGCAATTGTGGAAGAGCCGGGTGTGAAGCGCTGCGTGGCAATGCTGAGAGCAGCGGAGAGCCTCGGCACCAGGGGCTCTTGGAAGAGCGTTTCAAGGTCAAAGCAGGACCGCATTGCACAACCCGGGGGAGGCAGCAGCGCCATCCCAACCACGTCCCTGGAGCTTCTCAAAGGAAGATGTTTCCAACCTATAGAGGGCTTTTTGTTTGCTCGGCTCACCTTGTAAGGCAGGAATGGCTTTCCAAACAGACACGGGTCCCTGACTAGCAAACTGCCCCAGTGACACTTCCAAGAGGAAAATGGGAATCCCGGCTAGAGCCAGCATCATCAGGTAGGGGATGAGAAACGCACCTTGAGGGGAAGAGAAGGCAAATCTGATCTCGTGGCGGGGAAAGGTGGGACCACACAGTTCTCAGGGCACCCAGGACCCGTGCACTGAGCGAGCCCTGAGCAAACCCACTCCTTTGGAGCCGCCTAGGAAAACTGAGGCTGTGCACCCATCCTGCTTTGGCTGAGTGTCCATCTGACTCGGGCACCTCCCAGATCCCATGCTCTCCAGGGTGTCTGACTAGCTCAAATGGGGTATCAAGGGGTTTCCTCGCCTTCCCTATTGATCTGGCCCACTTCTAGGCATCCCTTGCTGTCCAGAGCAGCGCTCCAGGCTCTAGTCTTTGGGATGGAAAGGAAAGCCAGGCTCACTGCAGGTGGTGACGCTAATTAATTAAATCAGAGTTAATTTCCCTCATCAGCTCCAACTGCGCCCTGCTTGGTTTGTCGAAGGGAACGGGGCTCAGGGTAGCGTGATGGTCAGGCGAGGAGGAGGAAACCAGGCAGCACCAGCCCCGGGCTGTGTTGTAGGAAAGGTGTCTACCCCCAAGCAAGCGGGTTCCCTTGTATCTCGGCTCTCTAGGATCAGATGGCATTCAACGGTGCTTAGCCAACGCTAGGGACCTTCGAGGCAGGAGCCGTGCAGCTACATAAGGACTGCCATGTACTGGGGGTCGGACCATGGAGCCAGCCAGGGGGTTATTCCCCTCCCTGCTCCTCTCTCACTTGCAGCCTCCAGGAAGTAAGGTCTGGGAAGCTCTGATTCAGAGGCTGTGCCCCTCACTCCCACGCCCAATAGGTACTGGTGCCCCTTTCCTCCACAAATGTGCCCAATCCCTTGGGTTGTTCAGTTTCTCTCTGCTGTAGATTTTTGCTATTGTGTTGATGTGGGCAAAAGCTTACTAATTAGGAACAAGCCCCGGGGTATCTTTCCAAAGCAGTGGTGCGGCTCTGAACTGCTCCTGATCTCCTTAGTCTCAGCCACCGCGGCAGAACTGCCCTTGGAGGCGGCGAGGGGGCAGCGCGAGCGCAGCCCGGGACATTACACAGCGGATCCTATAACGCACCCGCACCATCCGACCTGGAGCTCGGTGCCCACTGCGGCACTGCGCATAGCAGGAGAAAATGCGGACCCAGGCTTTATTATAATACCTGCCCAGATCCCTGCGCTTTAAAGAAAAGACGCAGTTCCGTGAGATCTTTGATGCCCCGTAGTTGCAGCAAACCCTAATACGTGGGGGGGAATTTGGTAATTTGAAGGGGTGTTGGAAATCCCTGTCAAATTTCCCATGCACACTTATTTGTGTTCCGCAGGGAGGATCAGCCCAGTGCTCATTTAAGGAGCTCACAACGAAATTGCCTCGAAGTGGATTTTGTTCTTCCTCAAACGGAAGGAGCTTTATATTAGGCTTTAAACAATTACAGTGTCTGGACATAGTCAGACAATATAAATACAACACAAGCAGCAGTTTCATGATTACCACAATTGTGTGGATAGATAGATAGATAGATAGATTCTTAAAAACCTCCAAGGACTCTCCATCCTTTGAGGTTTTTAAGACCCTGCTAGACAAAGCTTTGGTTGGGATGATCTAGTTGAGGATGGTCCTGCTTTGAGGAGGGGTTGGACTAGATGACCTCCTGAAGTCCTTTCCAACCTTCATTTTCTATGCTTTTATAAATAGACAGAGATTTCTATCGCTATAGAAATTTCTATATAGCTATCTCTATAGAGATTTCAATATATAGATAGATATATAATACATATATATACTTAATTGGATTGTGTTATGCATTTAATTGGATGATACATATTTATGGATTATGTATAGATTTAATTGGATATTAAGAAAACTAGAGGTAATCGAAAATTCAACCTGTGTCGCCCTCACTGAACTGAGTTAAAAAAAAAATCCCTTCGTTTTAGCCTCGCCAGATCCCCCCGCCCCAAGTGAACTGTGATAAAAAAAGCGAGTTGAATTTTAACAAATGGGATTTAAGCCTCCGTTCCCCCCCCGCATTGATTTTATGTCCGTGTTACTGGGCTGATCATTATTCGGACTGTTGAAAATGACTCTTTTTTTTTTCTAGCTGGGTTTCAAAAAGACATTCACAGCACAACTGGAAACCCTCCCATGCCTGGGTTGCGACTACAGTCTTGCAAAGCTTTCCCCTCTGTTTCCTACGTGCTTCTCCATTTCCTGTTTTCACTTTGCTTTCCAACCCCACGGATTTAGATTAAACGGATTTAGATTAAACCCTCTGCACACAATTGACGTGAAACCTGAGTGTTGGTTTGGGGGGGAAGGGGTGGGGGGTTGTTTTATTTTTCTCTTTGCCCGGAAAGATGTTTTGCACGGATCTGATCCACTCGTTTTGTCCATTCTCCTCCCTGCCTGGGCAGCATTAGGTGCACATGTGAAGGGGCAACACCGACTGCAGCTCACCACCATTCAGACAGGAAGATGCTGTTATTAGTGAGCAGCTTCAACGCAACCCCCACCCTCCTCCCGCCCCCCAACCATGTGCCTGAGGATTTGAGCTTAAAACCTTGCGGGTCCGCTGGATGCGTGTTACATGCCTCCCCCTTCTCCCTCCCCCGCTATGTGCCAGCGCAGTATCACTTGCAGGGCTGCAGGGTGTAGAAAGACAGGAAAAGCCATACCTCCCCCATTCTTAAAGGCCAGGTACGGGAACCTCCAGACATTGCCCAGCCCCACTGCATAACCCACCATGGAGAGGATGAAGTCCAGCTTGCTAGACCAGTTCCCTCGGGCTTTATTCTCATCCCCTTCTTCGTCATCCTGAAGAGGGGAGGGGGGGGAAAAACAGTCACACGAGAGAGCCGCCGTCACATCCACCCATCTCAGCTGGATCCAGTAGCAAGAGGTGGTTAGAAAGCAGTGGGAAGAGACCCCCCAACCCCAGGGCAAGGATTGCTCAGCAGATCTCGGGTGTCCCCCCTCCCCCCGTCACCCTACCCCCAACCATCAGATGGGTCCTG